ATAAATAAATAAATAATGAGAAATCAGGAAGAACCAGCAGAAAGTAGCCAACAGAAGAAATGTGTTTCCAGGGGTCCCAGTATCTGGAATTATCAGGGCAAAAAGTTCTAGAAAATTTCCCCACTAGTCAGTATCCCTGTATATTTAAACTATTCAATCTCTCTCAGGGCTGGAGAAGTGGCTCAGGGAATAAGAGTGTTTGCTGTTCTTCCTGAGGACCTTGATTCGACTCCCAGCACTCACATGGCAGCTCTGTCATCCTCTTCTGGTCTTCTCAGGCAATATACACATACCAAAAAACATTCTGGAAATCAAAACACTTCTACAAATAAAGAAATCATTTAAAAGTAAATAAACCATTCAGTCTCTTGAATTCATTCCATTCTGTGCCTGAATTGCTACAATCCCATCTTCAGTTGGCCTTCATCACTGTCTTCAGCTCACTCTTCAGTGCTGGGGATTGAACCTAGTGGATTGAACCCAGTCCTCTTTTCATTTTTTGATGTAGGATCTCACTATGTTGCCCAGGCTGGCCTTGAACTCACTCTACAATCCATGCAGGTCTTGAACATATACTCTTCTTGCTTCAGCTTCCTAAGTAGCTGGGATAACAGGCCTGTGCTACTGAGCCTGGTTCCCAGTTAAGTCCTTTTTTTTGGGGCGGTCTTTTTGAGACACGGTCTCCATGTAGCCCCAACTGGCCTGGTACTCACTATGTTGACAAGATGTAGACCAGGCTGGCCTTGAACTCACAGAGATCCACTTGCCTCTGCCTCCCGAGTGCTGGGATTAAAGGCGTGTGCCACCATGCCCAGCCCTACTTCTGTCTTGAAAACCTTCTCTTGTTTCATTTTGAAAAATGTCTCTAACCTTCAAAGTCAACTTAATTTTTTCTTTACATTTACATTTAGTGTGTGTGTGCGTGTGTGTGTGTGTGTGTGTGTGTGTGTGTGTGTGTGCCACAATGTATGTGTTGAGGTAAGGAGGACAACTTGTGGGAGTTCTCTTTCCATCATGTGGATTTTAAAGATCAACTGGGGTTTTCAGACTTGACAGCAAGTGCCTTCACCTGCTGAGCCATCTCACTGGCCTCTCAAAGTCCAATTTCAGTCTCCTTTCTGAACTCTTCCTACGAATGTCTATGATAAATTGATACATTATGTTATTATTTAGGTCTGTTTCTCAAGTAGCCAGTCTCTCTCTCTCTCTCTCTCTCTCTCTCTCTCTCTCTCTCTCTCTAGTGTACGCATGGGTACACTCACTTATGCATATGTATGTAGAGGCCAGAGATTGACATTGGTTGATTGGTTGCCTGTCTTCCTCAATTGATCTCTACCTTTTTGAGACAAGGTCTCCCAGTGAACCCAGAACCCAGTAATCATTATTTTTTGACTGGTCAGTGTGCCCCTAAGATCTACCTGTCTCTGCTCTACAACCCAGAACTGGGGTTACAGAGGTGCTGTTATGCCTTGCTTTTTAGGTGGGTCTTCAGGTTTGTTACCTGCTGAGGCATCTCCTCAGGGAGGCTTAACTTCTTGAGGTTGAGTGCTTTCTTAATATTCATGGTATTGAATATCAGTGTCCAGCTCAAAATAAGCACTTAATAAATATTGATTTAAAAAAACCTGAAAGAGTATTTTTGTTTGGTTTTTGGAAACAGGGTTTTACTATGTAGCCCAGATTGGCCTGTAACTCACAGTCCCCCTGCCTCAACCTCCTGAGTGCTAAGATTACAGGCCTGTACCACTATGCTTTGTCTTGAAGGAATAGCCTTAATAGTAGATGAGACAAAGTATTATGGACTATATTGTGCCCCTCCCCCCACCAAAGTTCATATATTGAATCCTCAACCTCCAAAGTGACTGTAGTTGGAGAAAAAGTCTTTGAGGAGCCAGTTGAGGTTAAATATAGTAATCAGGAAGAATCAATGTCTTTTGTTTTTTGTTTTTTTGGGGGGGACAGGGTTTCACTTTGTATCCCTGGATGGTTTGGAACTTGCTATGTAGATAAAGCTGGCCTCAAACTCACAGAGATCCACTTGCTTCTCTGCCTCCTGCGTGCTGGGATTAAAGGCATCAGAACTACACCCAGTTTAAAATCAGTGTCTTCATAAGAATAGAAAGAGCCAGGTGTAGTAATATTCCTGTAATACCAGCACTTGGGGGGAGAGGCAGGAGGGTTAGGAGTTCAAGGTCAACTTTAGTGGGTTCCTACATGAGATCCTGTCCAAAAAACAAGAATAAAGAGAAGAAGAAGAGAAATCAGTGCTAGATCCATCCCTCTCTCTACATGCATACTTCATGATGGCTGTATGGGAACTCACAGAGAAGACAGCTCTTTGTAAGGCAGGAAAAGAGGCCTCATAAGAAACCAATCCTTTTGGTACCTTGATCTTAGACTTTCAGCTTCCAGAACTGTGAGAAAATAAGTTCCTATTGTTTAAGGCACAGTCTGTCCTGTTTTACCCCAGCAGCCCAAGGCAATCTGTACCCCATTTCCAAGATTTCAAACATTTTTATACACACATCTCCAACGAAGGGAAGAACTCAATTAGAACTGACAGTGGGTAGGCAGTAGACACAATAGCACAAAAAAAATGGGTAGCTTTTTAAAAAGTTTTATTTCAAGAACTTTGTTTTTTACTGGTATTCCAAAAAAAGGTGGGTCAAAGTACAAAAAAAAAAGTCAGTTGAATAACAGCAGAGGTTTAGAAATCACAGCTGTGGAAGCAACATACAGACAGTACAGACAAAACAATCCAATGTATATAATTCTGTTCCATTTCTTTGCCTATTTTAAGTGTTTTTCCCCCTCCTGTACAAAACACATCAGAGCATGCCATGATATCAGAAAAGAAAGGCTTAACAAATGGCTACATGAGATCGACTCTGTACAAGAGGAGTTTCTGATCCTTCCCTCCCCCGCCCCCCCATGTCCTCTCTTTTCCCTCCTCTTCAGGTTAAGTTATTCTGCAGACAGTTCACCTCCAGCTCAGCCTGCTCACCCTTGCCCCCCTCAAGTTTGGGTGACATGGAGTTCTGGATGTTAAAGGATTCCTCCTCTTTCAGGCAGGACTTGAGAGCTTCTTGGATTTTGTGGGGAGCACTGGAATCATCCTGGAAGAGGAGAAAGTTGGGATGTTGGAGGGAAGGAGGCAACGGGTAGAGCAAAAATTTAATGATCTCAAGTTTTCCTCGCTGGCTGAAAGAAGTACAGCGCTAAGGCCCAAATGAACTGGAAGTACCCAAAGAACTGTGCCAGCAGCTGGTACACGGCCATGGTGGTACACATGTGCAATCCCATGTGCAAATCCCTGTGTTTGCCCATTAAAGATTTGCAGGAAAACCACACAAGTACAGGTCTCCAGCTCCACATTCCAAGCTCTCAGAGGCAACACCTGCCTCATCCTTTCCTGTTAAGACCACTGGTGAGACAATGACAGTCAGTGTGCCTCTTCAGCTCCAGTTCTTTCTCTGGTGCCCCAAATAGCTGCCATAAATGCTCAGAACTCTGCTGATTAATGAGACAGAGTCATGTTTGGCAAGAAAGGTGGAGAATGTCCTCACCTGACTAGCTACTGTTCTTTTAGTATTTAAAATATTTATGTGTGTATGTGTCTGTGTAAATAGATGCATGAATGTGCAGGTACATATCTGTACAGGTCAGAAGAGGGCGTCAGGTGTTCTTCTCCATCATTCTCCTGTTCCTCTGAGGCAGGGTCTCTCCCTGAACCTGGGGTTCCTGATTTCTCAACTGAGCTGGAAGCCAGCAAGCCCCAGCCACCCTCCTGTCTTTGCCCACTTTGGGGCTGGGGTTACAGGTGTGCACAGATCACCTGGCTTCTTATATGAGTCCTGGGATCTGAACTCTGGTCCTCTTGACTTCACAGCAAGCTCTTTTAACTACTGAGCCATATCTCCAGTTCCTATTTGTTTGTTTACACATGTTTCAGGAGGTGGGCTGGACAGTTGGCTCAGCAGTTAAGAGCACTGACTGCTCTTGCAGAGGACCCAGGTTCAATTCCCAGCACCCACATGGTGGCTACGAACCATCCTTAACTCCAGTTCCAGGGGAATTCTACGCCCTCTTCTGAACTCCACAGCATTGCACAACACAGGTGCACTCACATACATGCAGGCAATACACCTAACTCCAGTTCCAGGGGACCTGACGCCCTCTTCTGACCTCCACCGGCACTGCATGACACAGGTGCACTTACTCAATGCAGGCAATACACTTATACACATTATATATATATATATATGAAATATTTTAAAAATTAAATGTTTTTTTCAGTGGGCTAGAGAGATGGCTCAGAGGTTAAGAGTTTAATTCTCAGCACCTACATTAAGTTGCTTACAACCACCTGCAACTCTAGTTCTGAGGGATTCTACTCCTTTGACCTCTGTGGCCACCTGCACTCATGTTCACAGACACATATAGACACCTAGATACACATGTACATATAATTAAAGACAATAAAATAAATCTTTATAAATAGTTTAAATTTTTTTTGTTTTTGTTCTTTTTGAGACAGGGATGCCCAGTAGCCCTAGCTGGCCTGGAACTCACTATGTAGACCAGGCTGGCCTCAATCTCATAGAGATCTGCCAGCCTCTGCCTCCTGAGTGCTGAGATTAAAGATGTGCACCATTATACTCAGCAGTTTAAATTTTTAAAATAATTATTAGCTACTTATACATGGTGGGAAGTGGTATGTGTGCCACAGTGCTCATGTGAAGGTCAGAGGACAACTTGTCAGTTTTCTCCGACCATGTGGATTCTGTAGACTGAACTCAGGCCATCAGGCTTGGTGGCAAGCACCTTTACTAGTTCAGCCATCTTGCCAGCCCTGTTTGTTTCTGGGACAGGGTCTTATGTAGCCCCAACTGACCTTGAACTCTATGTAGCTAAGGATGAACTTGAACTTCTAATATTCTTCTCTCCACCTCCCAAGTCCCAGGATTTCTACAACCATTCTTCCTTTTTTTCTGTTTGCTTGTTTTTTGTTTTTTTGTTTGTTTGCTGTTTTTTTTTTGTTTTTTTGTTTTTTTTTTTTTTTTTTTTTTTTTGTCTTTTTGAGACAGGGTCTCCCTGTAGCCCCAGCTGGCCTGGAACTCACTGTGTAGACCAGACTGGCCTTGAACTCAGAGATTCACCTGCCTGTGTCCCATTGCTGGGATTACCACACCTGGCTTTTTCATTTGTTTTTGAGATAGGTTTCACTTTGTAACCCAGGCTGACATTGAACTTGCTATGTAGCTCAAGCTGACCTCCACATCCTTCTGCCTCAGCCTCCCCAAGTGCTGGGATCACAGGTGTATGCCACCACATATGGTTCATTCTTGCTTTAGCCACTTTCAAAATTCAAGATAGGGGCAAGAGACACAGCTCAACTGGTAAAGTGCTTGCCCAGAATGCAAAAAGCCCTGGGTTCAATTGTATTTTTATTTTGTTTTGTTTTTTGAGACAGGGTCTCTCTGTACTCCAAGCTGGCCTGAAACTTGATATGTAGACCAGGCTGGCCTTGAACTCACAGAGATCTGCCTGGCTTTGCCTCCTGAGTGCTGGGATTAAAGGCTTGTACCACCACACCAAGCTTCAAGGGTACTTTTTTTTTTTTT